TTGCCTACCCTCAAGGCAACAGTCAAGTGGAGAACGCCAACAGGACCTTGCTCGAGGGCCTAAAGAAGAAACTAGAGGCTGAAGGGGGTGGTTGGGTAGAAGAGCTCCACAACATCTTATGTGCCTACCGTACCACCCCTCGGCGAGCAACGGGCGAGACACCCTTCTCCCTTTGCTACGGGTTTGAAGCTAAGGCCCCACGGAGGTAACTCTTCCGACCCGAAGGGTCACACAATATGACCCCGAGGTCAACGACGCCAATATGGCCCTCGACCTTCACCTTATTTCGGAACGCCGAGAGCAAGCCTTCATACACGCGTAAAACTACCGAAGGCAAGTGAAGAGTTACATTGACGCCAAAGTCCGCTCCCGGGAATTCCAAGTGGGGGATTATGTCCTCCGAAGAAGGGAAGCTAGCCAACCAACCGAGGGCAGAAAGATGGCACCAAAGTTCGAAGGCCCCTACATTGTGGCGACCATCATCAGACCAGGAACTTACAAACTAAGAAGCTGTTCTCTTCGTCTTAATCTTATTACTTATTCCTTATTCTTATTTTATTCAGATCAGATCAGATCAGATCAGAAAGATTCAGATCAGATCAGATCAGAAAGATTCAGATCAGAAAGATTCAGATCAGATCAGATCAGATCAGAAAGATTCAGATCAGATCAGATCAGAAAGATTCAGATCAGATCAGATCAGATCAGAAGCATTCAGATCAGATCAGAAGCATTCAGATCAGATCAGAAGCATTCAGATCAGATCAGAAGCATTCAGATCAGATCAGATTAGTTCAGAAATATTCATACCAAATTGGAAGCTAGTGCTATATGTACAAGACAATGGGTTCTCCTCCTGAATTTTTCTGACCATTTAGCAATCTATCTATTTAAACCCAACCGAGTCATTTTTTCTGCTTGGTCCCATTTCAAGACGTGCAAATTGAATTCGATTAGAACAATAATTTTTCATTTGTCCGGTATATGTATATATAGGTCGAATCTAAACAATTAATAAATACTCTCTCCGTGCCTTTATAATTGTCTCATTTTTCCATTTTTGGATGTCCCTCTATTATTGTCTCATACCATATTTGGTAACATTTGTGTGAGTCTAATTCATTCTTACTTTATTCCCACTTTATCAAATCATTATCAAACACATAATTTTACTTTTCTTAAAAATCACACTATTCCCTTCCGTACCAATATTAGAGGGACAGAGGGAGTAACTAGTTGCCGAGTCTCATCTAAATTACCACGCTTCCATGTGCACTAGCTAACCTATATTTAGAACCCATTTGTACGTATTTGTTAAACATCACTTTTTATATACTATTTTAAGGAAAATTCTATGGTGCACTCCTAAATTTTGGGTGCAGCGGTAGACATCTTTTCTTATCCAATCACATTTTAGTATTGTGCTATTAAATATGATTAATGACTTGTAGTGAGGATTGAGTTATTAGCCTAAATATGATTGAATTGTTTCTTAAATTTCTAAATAGGACTGTGTATATTTTTATTTTTTAAATAGGGCTTTTATACCATATTTGTCCTTCCTAATATAAATAAGGTTTAAATATTTTTTTAGTCTTTGCAAATATAGTATCCTTGAAAAATTATATTTTTGTTTTTCATTCCTAAAATGTATGTTAGTTTTTCTTTTAGTCTACCGCTAACGATAATAATGGAATTTAATACGTATTTTAAAAATGTGAGTAATTAGTTTTTATTTTTTTAACTCTCCTATTTTCCTCAAAAAAATTACAGGGATGAATTTTTTTAGTGATATACTAAAAACCAAATAATGCATAATACAAGGATGAAAAACATAAAAAAAAATTACAGGGACTTAAATCATATTTAAACCTATAAACAATTGCCCCCTAGTTCCCTATGCCGGTGATCCGGATATGCGGCGTCGGCGTCAGTGTAGGCCAAATCTTTAGCAGTAGAGGCCGGATCTTTAGCGCCGGCGGCCGACGTGGTCAGATCTGGTCAGATATACGGTGGTAGTTCATGGCAAGATGTGCAATGTCGGTGGTCAGATCGGTGATGTCTAGATCTGACCAGATGTACGGAGGCAGCGGCCAGATGTGTAGTGCCGGCTGGCGGCGGTCAACAACGATGTTCGGCTGCATTAAGTTTTGTCAAGCTTCAAGGGGTACTTTCGTACTCCTGTTCAACTACAAATAATAATTCCTATTTAGAATACTTTTAAATTTTGCACATATTTTGACAATTTAATATTTATTTATTCCTATTTAAATAAATCTCTTTTGACGATTTTGTTCAGTTTAACCTTTTTTTTTTCTAATCCGGTGAAGGATCCAAATGCAAAAACGGCAAATTATTATGTTTAGTTAATGAGGATATTAGGTGGCGTAAGATTGAGATATAATGGGATGGGTGGTTAAAAAGGATGTGTACCAAAACACACCAAATTAAGGAGTGCACCGTAGAAGCAAAGTTTGAGGTACTTATCTCACACCCCATCAAAGTTTGGGTATTTATGTTATTTTTCCCGTTAATAATTACCAGACCAAATTTAGATTTTTTTCTTCGGGTTTTTATCTTCAGATTTGAGATTAAATAAGACACGCTGAGGTCATTTGATAAATCTCAAAGTGACTGAATTGACTGATTCTGTTGAAATTATGAAGTTCAGGTTAAAATGAAAGTATTCGTTGAATTGGCTTATTTATTAAAAAATTATACATAATAATTTTTATTAATAAAATGAATAACAATAGCTATAAATCTATAATGTAAATTCAGGCAATGCTGTCAGAAAAGTAATTTAAATTTCACTTATTATGATTATTACACAATAAGGACACAAAATCAAAAGTTTCGTGTTTGGTGAAAAAAAATGGTTGATAAGACTGATAAGTCGAAAAAAGAAGTCCCCAAACGGGCTTCGTATGCTCTTTATTTTTTTTAAATTACATATGTAATATTAGTGTCAAATGAAAGCTCATAAAAAAATTATGAATTATGATATATTTTTTATACAAAATAGATCAAAAATAAAAAAGTTATAAACAGTCACACGTGAGGCTCCTCTCTGTCGATACCGTCAGGCGTCAGGGTATGAACTTCTCGCTGACCGAAAAGTCTTCTGGGGCTTTCCCGTCGGGGAGCTTTGTTGACCACGATGAATTGATTTTTTGACCCATCTAATATACTCTGGTAGAAAATTACATTGTGAACAATGTATTACAATATCAGAAAAAATGTAACAATGTCAAGTAATGACAATGACAATGTCAACACGAACACTTTTTAAAAATAACATTATAAAAATGTCAATGATTAAAAAATTGACATTGCATTAATGACAATGTCAATATCAATGCTATATAAATGACATCGTAACATTGTCAAGAAATGACATTGTTTTTGATAATGACATTGAGGTATGTGACAATGTTATATCATTGTAAAATATACAATGTTACACTGTCAAAATGTCAGAAAGTTATCACAATGTTGAATAATGAAAATGATAATGTCAATGCTACAAAAATGACATTGTAATCATGACAATTACAATGTCAATATTACCAAAAATGACATTTTATTAATGACAATGTCAATGTTGATATAAATGTTTGTCGTAACAATGTCAATGTTATAAAAACGACTATTGTTTAAAACAATGACAATAATATAAAAATGACATTATTTTTATAGAAAAAACATTTCACACTGTCATTATTAATATAAAAATGACAATGTTTTTATACTACGTATAAAATATGAAAATGTTAAAATAATTTATTAACATTGTCATTTTTAAGAGCATGACATTTTCTGTTTTTTCACCCTGTCATGATTGGCAACACAGTATAATATCAATACCATTACAAAATGTAAATGTTATAAAAATAATTATTTGAAAACTAATACGGAGTATCATGGAATTCTATAATTTAACAGTTGTAAAAATGCTAGAAAAATTCAACAAAGCGAAATAAAGAAAACTTTACAACTGAAAAATAATGCAAAAAAACGTAGTAAGAGAGTAAGAAAGAACTAAGAACAAGTAAAAGCAAATAGCAGACTAACATACATAAGGTCATAAAGAACATATCAGAAAGAAATTTGCAATAGAATTACATTGGAGCATAAAATTGCAAGGTCACATAATTTTCAGATTTCTTGAAATTCCCGGTTATGACCAAATCTTTCACATTAGTTTTACGTCTTCCCGGTGAACTAATCTAAACAGTATGAGGCGGGAAGCCAAGATCCACCAAGAAGTTGTTGCCAATATCTTTAGGAGGAGCCTTAGAAGTCGAGCGTCAATCAAAGGAAGAAACAGATCGAAAAGTAAATGACGGAGAACAGAAGACAAGAAAAGGAGATGAAGAAGAGAGAGGAGGAAGGGAGGACTGGAGGAAGAGAAAAAGAAGAGCCAGGTAGCGCCGCCGCTGCACCTTGTCTTCTCCGATCCATCACCCTTCATCTCATCATCATATATCGTCGGCACCATCTCTGTTGTTTCGCCAGGGTCGAGCAGCTCCTCTGCTTCGTTGTCGAAGAGCAAACCGATTGATGTTGGAGGAGAGAGAGCTCATGCTGTAAAATCGGAGCGGATTAATAAGAAAGGGTAAATAAGTCAAGCCACATAAAAAGAGTCTTATTCAGGTATTTTAAAAGACGAAATCCTATTTAAGTACACGACTGAAATTTTAGTCCTATTGGTGACCATTTCTGTTTTATAATTCTGATGGACCCATCTTAATTGCTACGTTTGTGGCTTACTCTTTGGTGCTTGTATGTTAAGATCACAGGTACTTACAGGGGGTTTGTTTTAACCAGGGTAGCAGTAATCTGAGAATTATTATTAACCCAACCATATTTTGATAAATATTTATTTAGTAAGCATTTATTTAGGAAAAAACTCCAATTGGGACAACCAAGCACATCATAGTTACATAAGGGTTTGAAACTGGGAACAGAACAAGAAAAACAGACCCAAATCCAAATAACTCGTCTTGACACTCCTCCTACAACAGGTTTGCTAAATGTTCACCGGCATCCTTTCTCGCTCCAAAGTCCAAAGCCCTTTCCATCTGTACGGCCTACCTTCCTTTACCTGTACGGCGTTCAAAGGGATTCTGCTCAGGCTTTACCAACTAATAACGCGGCGATAGTTTTCGGATAGGCTAAAATAATTTCTCTCCCCTACTGCGTCGTCAGAATGACAGATAGAGGAGGGAAGAGAAGAGGGGTTTCGATCTGTCGTGGGATGCTTCCCCTGCTAGCTGTCCATGCCGTGACTGAATATTGCAGGCTCGACAGGAAACCGCCCGTCACGGCCGGGGTTCTGGCGGCTAATACCGTCATTTACTTGAGGCCCGAATTCCTCGATCGGCTCATACCTCACATTGACGAGGTCTGGTTCAATCCCCACCTTATTTTGAAGGTACACCTCCTCTCCACCCTAGATGTTTAATGCGTTCTAAGTCTTAAATTGGATTATATGAGTACGCCTTTTGCTGATCCAAAAGGTGGTTTAATTTGCATTGTGTTTTGCTCTTTGTAATGCTTTCCAATGTTATAAACTGCATTGAGGCTGGGTCTACTTAAGGTGTCTTTGCCTTTGCTTCTACTTTTCGGAAGTGATTGGATCTTAGAGATCATATGAAATTTGGAGTTTCAAAGTGATCCTGAGATTGCCTTGAACGAAATTAACTTCCACTAACAAATTTTCATTTGTTACGTGCCTCATTTCTATAACCGTGCAATTGCAAACTAAAGAGTCGTTGCCTTCAAGGAAATTGCCTTGAACGACCATTGGATGTTTTATGTGCGTCATTCTCAGCTATTTTTGCCTGATTATGGGCATATGCATTCAGGTATAAATGAAGTGAAAATTTGAGTCCTTTTTTATTTATTAGAGCTCAATGTCTTATTATCATTCTTTCTTTTCCCACATCAGTTTTTATTCGTTTTCCCAGAATGTTTGCTATGGTTTCACACAAAATTTTCCTATTCATGTTCATCTTTTTACACCATGGCGATTAACTCATTTACATAGAATTCCATTTCTGTTTATATTGCTATACTGATATGTATTTCCTGTGTCCGTATCTATCTCCCCAATTGCTATGGCACACGTATTAAGAAAGAGAAATTTGTGTGGTTGAAACTTGAAATTTGTCTAGAAGACTACCACCACAATTGTTTCCTTAGAAGGTAATAGAAGATATTTTTGGACTTCAGTAGAGAAGCTCTCTACCGAAGTCCCTCTGCCCCCAAAAATGTACTATTTGAAAACTTTTTTTTTGTCCCAATAAAAAGTATCTAATTATCATTATATTAATGTATTTGTTTTAAAAAAAATCTAACAAAGTAAACAGAATAATTATGTTAAATTAGTTCAATGAACAAATAAGTTAAAAAATATGCTAGAATTGATGTTTTCCAATAGTTGTGGCTTAATTAAAACTAAAAAGTTTTATCATTGAAAACCTGGACCTTTTTTTTGTGGGGAGAGGGGGCGTGGAAGAATTACCCTATGGAAAGTTATGCTGCTATGAGTAAGCAACATTTGTTTTAATTCTGACTGTGAAAAGTATATATTTTTATGTTTATGCAGTACAAAGATGTTAAGCGATTCTACCTTTCTCCATTCTACCATATCAATGAATCTCACTTGGTGTACAACATGTTGTCACTTCTATGGAAGGGGATTCAGTTGGAAAGGTCAATGGGAAGTGCAGAATTCGCATTCATGGTTGCTGCCTTAGTTCCTATGTCCCAAGGCGCCACATTGTTGTTATCCAAATTGCTCTTATTGTTATTTAACCATGGGGGTCCCTATTACAGGGAATATGCTGTGGGGTTTTCTGGTGTCCTCTTTGCGATGAAAGTCATTCTGTATGAACAATTGGGAGATTATACATACGTGAATGGGCTAATGGTACCTACCCGGTATGCTGCTTGGGCCGAACTCATTTTAACCCAGATGTTTGTTCCTGGTGTGTCTTTCATCGGCCATCTGGGCGGAATACTTGCAGGCTTTGGATATCTGTATTTAAGAAAGTCTTCATATCCAGGTTCTTCCAATCCGCTGAAAAAATTGGTCAAGGGCATCATTGGTGCTCTGTGTCTGCCTTTCAAATTCTTGTGGGGGGGCTTAGGAGGAGTAGGGCGAAGAAGGGTTCATGGTCGGGGAGCTGTTGGTAGAAGAAATAGGTCTACTGCTGATACATGGAGATGCCAAGCGTGCACCTTTGATAACCGAGACAGCATTTCAAGAGTTTGTGAGATGTGTGGGACAGGTCAATTTGAAGGCTCTTCTTCTCATCCACTACCAATGAGCGACATTTCTTTGGAGGAACTACGACGCTGGAGAGTTGAAAGGTTTGGTTGAATATAACAATTTTCAACTCTTCAAACGGTGTTCCTATGGGTTTGTGTGAATTTTACATTTAATGTCACTTAGTTTCTCTGTAGCGGAATTGCGGAAGTAAAACTAGTAGAGAGTTTGTTTCGTAAGAAATAAGCATAACGTTGAAGCTCAAGAGGACCAAAAGTTGACATTTTATCACAATTATACGTAATATATGAGTGAATATTGTTGTTGTGATCGTTGACCGACACCACAATCGAGGTCCTCGCTTGTGAGCATTGCCATCATTGAGGCCACCACCGCATGAGGTTGTCACCACCTTCCAGTGGCAGACCCAGAACAATTTTCAAGGGCGCGTATGAGCTTTTTGTGGTTCGGTTCTAGTCTTATTGAAGAATTTAAACCGCAATAGGGGTTAAGTAGGGGCGGTTTCGTATCATGTACATTTTTTATTCTAGGTATGGTAAATAGTTCATTTGGAGAAATTTGAACAATAATACTCGACTTTTTTGAGGAAAGATAGATGTAGGACTAAAATTATATACTAATATGCTATGTAAAACTAACTAGAAATTTGCAACTGTATCAATGGTATCATAAAAACTAGTTGTCCAAGTTACTATTCAAATTAGGACGGTGTTCAAGCCTACCATGTGTAGAACAAGTTTTGTTTGAAGTCGTTTGAAATAAGCTAAGGTAACCGACCGGTCACCGCCATGTCACCCGGTCAGATGCTAATCGTGTATCCCATGTGACAATTTAAGTGGTCAAATAGGTCCATGAACCTGATAAAGATGTTTAATTTACCCCCTCAATCGTTAAAAAGTGTCAAAATTGTTATTAGAAAATAAAAAACTCAAAAATAAATAAATAATATACAAGTTCATAATATAAAATATAAACGTCTATTTATAATATAATAAGAAAATATTTATATTTTGTGGTAAATTAAATTTATATAAAAAAAATTAAAATGAAAATAAACTATTTTTAAGTACATAATATAAAAATGTAATAACTATTTTCATATTATACTTTTTATATAGTATTAAATTGTTTATATTTGTATCTTATTTTATATATAGTACTTATTATATTATTTAATAGATGTCTATATTTTATACTTTCGACTTGTATCTTATTTTCTATTTTTATTTTCTATTATTTTTTTGAAATTCTTACATTTTTAACGATTGAGGAGGCAAATTAAACAACTCTGTCGGGTTCAGGGGCCTATTTGACTCCTTAAATTGCCATGTGGGATGCACGATTGACATCTAACCGGGTGACGTGTCGGTGACCGGACATTTACCTGCAAAAATGAGATTTAAACTTTTTTGTCCAGGAGGTGAATTGGAGCTTTTTAGAGTTCAAGGAACGTATTGAGCATTCCGGACGAGTACAGAGATCTATTTGACTTTTTAGCTTTTGAAATATAATACTACCTCTGTCCCTCTTATATTGGGTCGGAAGAGAGTGACACGATTATTAAGAAAAGTGGGGTTGTGTGATTGATATTAATTGATAAAGTAAGAATAAAATAAGAATGATTTAGAACCACACAAACTTTAACAAATATGGTATGAGACAATTATAGTGAGACTTCCCGAAAAGGTAAAACGGGACAATATAAGAGGGACGGAGGGAGTACTACAATTGTCCCGAAATGGAGTTCAATTCAGGTTGGTATTATTTTTGCACCGTTTTTGAATCTATTTATATATAAGAAAAGAGATAGCTCATTAAATTACACATCTACCCTTAAATATATCATACCTGTATCACTCACGTTCTTCAATTTCAAAATTGTTTTTTCCTCATATGCTGCCACGTGGCCTCTTTAGAAGCAAGAAATATCATCCCCTCCTTAATTTGAGGTGCGGTAGTTATATTATTATATAATTTAATTTATTCAATAAGAAATTTTATAGGTCTATAACTTTTATATGTGCACTCCAATTTTTTCAAAAGATATATTGGAATTTATTATTTTTTATGATTTTTCATATGACACCAATATTGTATGTATATAATTTTTAACAAAAATCAATAATTTCAACCGGGAGTTCTTAGACAAAAAGAACATGGAACACAAATTTTTAATTAAATGTGTATCAACAAATGACCAAATTTTACATGAACTCATTTTATTTTTACTAAAACCACGAAAAGTTATAAAATGATGAAATTTTTAAATTTTAACATTGAATTCTGTGCTTTTTTATTTTCATAATTATTTGAATTAAAATCACTGAAAAACAATACTCAAAGTAATTTAACTAATGTTTTGTTAAATTGCTATATGTAAAAAAATTGGAGAATCAATTTGATTAACCGTACTTAAATGCGGTGAAAAACAGTATTGAAGAAATGTATACACAATTTTCATATGTAGTTCTTTAGGGTATTAGAAAATAAGCTTGAAACAATTAAGTGAGATAACTTTTTCTCATATGTAGTTCTTTTAAGTACTATCCTCTGTTCCATAAAAGTTGCAACAGTTTGTCTTTCACGTTTACCAACACGCAACTTTGACTGTAATTATATTTATTTAAGTATTAGTAAACATTAAAAAAAGTTAATATATTAGAAATTTACATAAATACAAATTTATTAATATTTTATAGAAAAGAGATAGCTCATTAAATTACACATCTACCCTTAAATATCTCATACCTGTATCACTCACGTTCTTCAATTTCAAAATTGTTTTTTCCTCATATGCTGCCACGTGGCCTCTTTAGAAGCAAGAAATATCATCCCCTCCTTAATTTGAGGTGCGGTAGTTATATTATTATATAATTTAATTTATTCAATAAGAAATTTTATAGGTCTATAACTTTTATATGTGCACTCCAATTTTTTCAAAAGATATATTGGAATTTATTATTTTTTATGATTTTTCATATGTCACCAATATTGTATGTATATAATTTTTAACAAAAATCAATAATTTCAACCGGGAGTTCTTAGACAAAAAGAACATGGAACACAAATTTTTAATTAAATGTGTATCAACAAATGACCAAATTTTACATGAACTCATTTTATTTTTACTAAAACCACGAAAAGTTATAAAATGATGAAATTTTTAAATTTTAACATTGAATTCTGTGCTTTTTTATTTTCATAATTATTTGAATTAAAATCACTGAAAAACAATACTCAAAGTAATTTAACTAATGTTTTGTTAAATTGCTATATGTAAAAAAATTAGAGAATCAATTTTATTAACCGTACTTAAATGCGGTGAAAAACAGTATTGAAGAAATGTATACACAATTTTCATATGTAGTTCTTTAGGGTATTAGAAAATAAGCTTGAAACAATTAAGTGAGATAACTTTTTCTCATATGTAGTTCTTTTAAGTACTATCCTCTGTTCCATAAAAGTTGCAACAGTTTGTCTTTCACGTTTACCAACACGCAACTTTGACTGTAATTATATTTATTTACGTATTAGTAAACATTAAAAAAAGTTAATATATTGGAAATTTACATAAATACAAATTTATTAATATTTTATACATAATAATTTTATTATATATATTATTAGAAAATCGTAGTCAAAGTAAGGTGTGTGAATAGTGCAGAAATTCCAATGTTGCAACTTTTATGGAACGGAGGAAGTATAAGATAAGCCGACTAGCATTTTAGCGGGATAATTTTATTTCTCATTTGTATTGCTTTTAGGTAAAAGAAGAAGCTAAGAAGATAAGCTTGCTAACAATTGAGAAAAAACATTTTCTTTCTCATATGTAGTGCTTTTTAATATGTAAGATAAGATAAGCTACCTAACAATTGAGATGAAAATTTATCTCTCTCGTATGTAGTACTTTTAGCTATAAAATTTTAAATATAAGAAAGATTAAGTCAAAAGCCATCTAACAATTGAGCGAGAGATTTCTCTTTCTCATAAGCAATGGTTTTAGGTATAAGATAACCCAGGAAACAATTTAGAAGGATAATTTTCTCTATCATATACAGGGCCGTCTAGAGCAATTTGGAGGCCCTAGACAACCAAATAATACTCCATATTTACTTATGAGATACAACGTACTCTCGTCTCAGTAACGCTAGGTTATGATAAAGTTGTACAATTATTAAAACAATTTAGTTTGTGGTTGATATTGAAGTGATAAAATAAGCATGATTTAGAACCACACAAATTTTGTCAAATTTGATATGTGACATTCTTAATGCATAGGCTAAAAATTAAAGATGAAACAATTTTAGTGGAGTAGAGAGAGTATAACTTCAATATATTGTTTAGTAAAAAAATACAAAAACTATAATATGAAATAAACATGAATGGCATAGCCAAAAAGAAATATTAACGTGGCTTGAATTGGTAAGTTTTTTTGTGTTTACACAATCTTTTAACATATAAATACATATAATTATTTTACAAATTTGGAGAGGATCGGAGCCTAAAAATTAAAAAGGACATTCTAATTACGCCCCGAATAGAAGTAAAGTACAGTCCAAAATATATCATATGTTACTAATGCAAAGAATATCATTCTTTGAATGTAAGCAATAAAAGAGTGAAAAACACATGGGGATTCTAATAGCAAATTTGGTAAGAAAACTACTACAATCAAGACTCCCTAATATTACGTAATACTTTTTTAATCGAGATAATAGTCAATCCAATTAATATAAGTTTGTTTTCCTTAAATATTACTGAAATATAACTTATTGAAAAATATTACCCTTCATTCCATTCAAAGCTTGTCACTTTCCTTTTTTAGACATCTCAACTAAATGTTTTCATTTTCTGTTTTAGAAAACAATTAAAAATGACAATTTAATAATAATTTTTAAAAATAATACATTTATAACATCACATTTGTCATCAATAACTCATTATATTATATTCGTAGACATCAATACTATTTCTCAAAATATACTCAAATTAGGATGTTGAATTATTATATATGCATATGCATTATAGTTGACACAATCACGATCACTAAAGTTATAGTCGCTGAAGTATAAAAAGACACATTTTGTTCACTCTCATTTAGATCATATATTTGTCATTATTTTCAAATATATCACCGAACATGCTTAATTTTGATTTTTTAATATTTTGCATCAACTTAGCTTTAGTTATAAACTAATTTTTTAAGTATTTCAATTAATTAAATTAAGGATTTAAGCATATATAATATTATTATTTTTTAAAATGGAGGCCCTACAAAATTTGGAGGCCCTAGACAAATGTCTAGGCTACCTCCCCCCATGGCCGGCCCTGATCATATATAGTGTTTTTAGGTATATGACAAACCGACTAACAATTAAGCGAGAGAGTTTTCTCTCTCATATGTAATGCATTTAGGTATTAGAAGATAAACTTGAAAACAATTGAACGAAATAACCTTATCTCTCAACAACACAAATCTAACATTTAAGATTAAAGACATTATTATTAATAAAGTTATTTATATTCAATCCAAATTTTGACATCTCATAAAAGCAATACTTGATTTTAATTGGTAAAGAAATTGAAATCATTAGATTCATTT